GGAAGAGACCCTGTTGCCTGGTCTCTTGGAGACCAGGAGAGGAGATAAGGTCATCAAGTAGAAGGAACTTGTCTTGGAAGCCATGGCCACTTACCAGCTACATGGGCTGATTCAGAGACACCCCCTCCCCACCTGCTCAAAGGGTCTTTAGCATTCACTGAGCTGTTTCTGTGAAGTCCTGCCATACAGCTGACCCCAAAGAAGTGAAGCCTCCTTTCTCTCCTTGTCCTAGATCTTTCTTTGACAAACAGCAGCTCTCAAGAGTGCTCCCCCTGTATCTCAGGGAGAGAGCAGAACTAAGCAGTCACTTCCCACCCTGCCCCACCCCAGCCGCTGCCCAGGCATCCCCTCTCCCCCTGCTGTGGCACCGGAGAGCTTTGCCTCTGGTTTGGCTCCCTGGTGTAGTTGGAGGGACAGGCATTGGCATCATTGAGCAGCACCCCCAGCCAGACCAAACACTTCGAAGACCCCCCTTGGGCAGTGACATTGGCTTTGCACAGGGCATCAGGAAGCTTGGGCGGGGCAGGGGTGGGTGGGGGCAGTGGTTAAGAGCCAGTAAGACAAAAGCAAAGGCAGAGCTTCATTTCTGGGTTCTCAACAACCAGCATCGGTTAAGGCCCCGTCCTGTGGGTACCTAGGGATACCAAGGGACATTTGCGTCTGTCTACCAGGTGGCCTCAATCTGTGCCAGGCCCAGGGTCCTCGGCTTTGAGCCTGGAGTTTCCCAACAGCGGGCAGCAGCCTCCTGCAGAAAGGGTTTGGAAATCACATAAGAACCTGTTGATAGCCAGGCATCAGTTTCAGCCACTTCCACCCCCATGCTGAGCTCCCAGGGACATCTGGGGGCTGCTGGCTCCAGAGCTCCAGGGACTGGGACAGGAAGTTTTACTCAGCCCACTCAGGCCTGTGGCCAGATCTGTGTACCTCCTGTTTTCCGCTCTGGGAAGAATGCTACTCCCTGGGCACAACACTGGGTGTGGACACCGCTGGCCTCCCCACACTGTCAGGTTCCCAGCCCCCAACTCCTCCCTATCCTCGCCACTCCAGGCCACGGTGAGATGGGTTCCCCACCGCGTGCCAGCTGGGTGGGCCAGCCTCCAGTTCATTCCCACCCGCGCTGCAGCCCCAGGCTGGCTGGTGAGGCACAGCACAGTGCTGTTTGTGAACGTGCTTTGCGAAGTGTCATGTGCTGGTAGTTGACTGTTAGGACGAAAATGCATCTGACCTTCATGTGCTCAAGCCTGAGTCCTTGGTAAGAAAAAGAAACCGTCTTTGTGCCTCCTGTCTCCTACACACGCCTGGCCCTTCCCTCAGTGACAGCCAGTATGAACAGAGAGGAGGGTCAAGTCCAGTCCTGTTGAAGAAGCGAATCTGAAGTCTTATCTCCATTCCCGGCTCCCACCCCCTAGCTCCGTCACCTCTACCCTGGCCAGAAGCCCGTGCAGGTGGATAGCACAGCTGGCCGGGCAAGGAGCTGTTTGGAACCCAGGGAATTCCAACCTAACCCCTTGACCTCACAGCTGGGGTGCCAGTCAGTGGGGGGAAATGGAAGGGATGATAACTTGGATCTGTAACCTTACTGTCCCGCAAGAAAGGGAACTCAGCCATTAGTGTGGAGAGGGGGGCGTGACCGGGACCCAGGGCCCACACTCCCTGTACCAATGAGACTCTTGAGGCAGGGAGGGCAGAAGTCAGCACCCAGGAACGTCTACAAGACAGTTCTGCCTTCTAGGGACGCCTGGGTGGCTCAGTTGGTTAAGCGGCTGCCTTCGGCTCAGGTCATGATCCCAGCGTCCTGGGATCGAGTCCCACATCGGGCTCCTTGCTCGGCGGGGAGCCTGCTTCTCCCTCTGCCTCTGCCTGCCTCTCTGTCTGCCTGTGCTTGCTCACTCTCTCTCCCTCTGTCTCTGACAAATAAATAAATAAAATCTTAAAAAAAAAAAAAAAAGACAGTTCTGCCTTCTCAAAGCCAGACCGGTTTTCCTCCCATCCTTATTGGGGATTTTTCCTGCAATGTTTTATTTTGAAAGTGTCAAAGATAGAGCACAGTTTGAGGGTTTTACCGTGAACGCCCAGATCCCCACCATCCAGAGTCTGCATTTCCCTGCAGGCGCTCAGTTACTTGGCTCCGTCCACCAAACCCATCTTCCCCGTTGACACATTTCAGAGCCACATGAGAACACCAGTACACTTCCTTCTTGGGGTTTTTAATTCTACAGGTAATGCATGTGCGAGTAAATTCAAAAACACATAAAAACATTCTGCTTTTAGTCTTCCTTGCCTTCAACATTGAAGTGTAGCTCCTCCAGATGTTTTCTGGGCTTACTCAGTAAGGAGGGCATCTGGTGCCGTAGGACATGGGATCATGCCCTTTTGCTGATCCACTGCTTGCCACACTGGGAGTCTGAGGTGACCACTGGCAGACCGATGATGCGCCACCTGCTTTTTCTGTTCAGGTGGGCTATGGGTTAGCCTGATGTTGGCAGGGGACAATCCCAGGTCGTCATGGCCAGGCAGCTGAGAGTGACTTTTCCCACAGCTCATATGCCCAGGGACATCAGTACTGAACTGTTCCTAACTTGGGCTTTTTCATCAGGGTTCCTGGTAGGGAGATTTAAGGCACTTTAGCTCTCTAGGCCTTGAAGAATCCTCATTTTCTGGGCCCCAGATGTTTCCCTTCCCACCAGAACAATCAGTGGGGGGCACCAAGTGAAGGGTTTCAGGCCCTGCAGAGGCAAGATGTTTGACTTCTCTGCCTTCCATGTCCTCCTTGGCAAGACAGGGATGACACATACGTCCTGCCTCGCTTGTGAAACTGCGGCTCAGTTGAACACACACCATCTCGGTGTGTGTCATTGGCAGTGCTCGAGAACAAGTAGTGAGGAACTGATCCTGTTTCCAGCTCGCCTGTCTCCACATCCATCACCCCCCTCCTTGGCATTTCTCCTGTGGTTTGGGGAACTTCTGAGTAACCTTGGCTTCCCTCACCCTTGCACCTGCCTTTCAGATGTTAGAGTTAACCTTGTGTTCTGTCTTCTGCCTTCTTGGATTTCAGCTGAATCTCTATCCCACATCTACATTCGTCACCCACGTCTCTCTTCTAAACCCCAGCTCTAGACTGTAGTGGACTCCTGGAGGTTTCCATTAGCATGTCCCAATGGAGACACCTGGTCAGCACCTCGCACCCAGCTCTGAACTCACTTCTCATGCCTGACCTTCTCTTCCTGGGTCCCCTCTCCTAGGCACCTGCCACTTGCCCAGCTGCCCTGGTCAGTACATGCCATCCCTCCCTCCTTGCCCCCGTGGCTAGTGCAGGCCCTGAGTCCTTCCCTCCTGCACTGCTGCGGCAGGCTCCCCATCTCTGAGCTCTGCGATCCCATCCTCCAGTATTAGCAGAGGCCCCCGGTGATCAGAATGCGTCTCCAGAGGCTCCTGGTGAACCACATGAAGCCTAGGCACCGCAGCAAAACACGAGTTCGTTCTGGGGGTGTCTCTCACCCCATGTGGCCCCCATGTCTCTCTGCAGACGCCTTAGCAAACTTCCCGCTCTTCCCAGTGCACAGATACCATTCCCTTTGCCTGAAATGTCCCCACCCTGATGGGGCATCAGTCATCCTTTCTTACCTGGGCTTTTATGCATCATAAGGCTTCCTAGAAGCTCGTGTGCTGTTCATTTCCATTTTCTTGTCTGCCTCCTCTGTGAGACTATGACTTCAGTCCTGAGGCCGTGGCTTCTTTGCGGAGTTGCCAGTGCCCAGAATGTCATAGAAATTTAATAAGGGGCTGCTGCCCCAGCCACAGTGCTCCCTCTGTGTGCTCAGGCTTTTCCAACCATGGCTGTGCGAAGGGCCTGGGGTGTCCAGTAGCTTCCTCCTGTTCCTTTTTTTGTGGGAGACCTTTTCTTCTTTTTTAAATTGAGTCATCGTACCATTTAGAACCTTCCCAATGCTACTACCACCACCATCTCTGTCTAGTTAGGATTTTCCAAAGAAAACCCCTTGCGTGATTGTACTTTTACCTGAAATAAGAGTCCATCTCACAGAGCCAGAGGGTAGAATAGTGGGTCACCGGGGCCAAGGGGACGGGGAAATAGGGAGGTGCTATTCAACAGGTGTAGAGTTTTCAGTCATGTCGGGTGAGTAAGTTCTGGAGATCCGGCTGCAGTTAGCAGTACTGTCGTGCACTCTTAAAAATCAGTCAAGAGGGTAGATCTCCTCGTAAGCGTTCTTAAGAACACCACCAAAAGAGGGGAAAAAGAACACCGCTGCCCCATAGAGCAGTCACCCCCCAACCCCCCTGCCCCCGCCCTGGGCCTACGTCTTGTCCGGATTGGCCTGCGCTGCACATTTCATAGAAAGGAGTCGTTGAATAGGGGACTTTTTGTGTCTGGCTTCCTTCCCTTCACGTGATGTTCTCCACGTCCATCCACACTGCAGCCCACATCCGTGTCCGCCCCTTTCCCATGGCCAAGTGACACTCCGCTGTATGGATGGATCCCATTTGTTGATCCAGTTCTCAGCTGTGGGCACCAGCCTGCTGCTGCGGACGTGCTCGCCTAAGCCCCAGCCCGAGCCATCGCTAGAGCTCCCGCCTCTTCCATCCTCTCTCGCCTCACACCCCATCGCCGTGCTTTGCCAAACCAGAACTCCAGGCACCTGGTCCACGTGTATGTTTGGGGGAAGGTCTCCTCAGGAAGGCAGCTGGCCTCTGCAACATACCTGTCCCCTCCCGAGCCCTTTTCACCCTTCGTCCCCTGGCCACTTTCTTGGTGATTGGTCCCACTTGGTCTTGAGATCACTGACGTGCAGTATGCATGTCCTGTCTCTGCAGGGAGGGCTTTCGGGTCAGCGAACCCTTGGGCTCCTGTGTCATCCACACAGCCTTGCCCACTTCAGGTGGCCCAAAGGTCCCAACCAGTTCCCAGACCTGTGCCCACTTTGTGCCACCTGTCTGCTAGTGACTGACCATCTTCCGCTCTCCTCTGTCCCCCACCTTTGCAGATGATGTGCTGACGAAAGACGCGGGTGAGTGTGTGATCTGCCTGGAGGAGCTGCTTCAGGGGGACACGATAGCCAGGCTGCCCTGCCTGTGCATTTATCACAAAAGGTATGGAAGGGCCCCCAGGGCCGGCTCAGCTCCATCTGCGATCCCGGAGGGCCCCTTCCCTGCTGCTGGGGGGGGGCACCCTCACCACTAGCCGTTCAGTCCCCTCAGGTGGTGGGACAACCTCTTTGCCAAGGGCTCTAAGTGGGGGCAGAGCAGGTCTCTGGTGTGATAGCCTGGATGGTGAGGGCTGACACAGAGACCTGCGGAGCCCCGCAGGCGAGAGGCACTTAAGATCCCACCCGGAAGGAGGTTGCTTTTGCATGTCTCCCTGAGCCTTTTCTTCCTCCACGGGCCGCTCCACAGCACGAGAACTGTCGTCTGTGCCAGAGAGGCCGCACAGAGGGCTAGTGCGTGCAGCCTCTGTCCCTTCTCCCCTGAGGGCCAGAGGCAGGAATAGCCACAACTTGGGCAGCCACGGCACGAAAAGCTGCTAGAATTAGCAGGGCTCAGAGTCATTCTCAGGCTCCGGTACGAGCCACGTTCTTGCTTCCAGCTAGAAAGAAGATACCTCTTTTCCCAAGACGGGAGGACACTCTGTGCCATCTGCTCTTGGCTCCCTGAGTCCCAGAACTACTTCTGACACACGGGCTTTTTCACAGCCCGCCTCACAGGGCTACTGGCCACGAGGCGGTGGTGGGGCCTGGCACACAGATGTGGCTGGTGCATGAGAGGCTCCAGGTTGGCCCCGGGGGAGGGGGTCTTGGCCTGGGTCTGGCACAGATTGCTCCAGCCCCCCAGGGAGGCACAGCTCAGAACCAGAAGATGGAAATGCTGGGCTCTAGGGGAGAATTATGCAAATTATCTACCTGGTTCCTGTGTTTGAAAATACCCAGATGTTGGCTTACAAATCAGAAAGCTCTCTTGGGGCAATCTGTTTCCTGTCTGGTTCAGATGGTCCTTTCTCTAAACACTGGAGACCAGGGTTTCACTGTCAGCCTCCTGTCTGGCCCTGTCTGACCGTCCCCAGCAACGTGACTGAGCCAAAGCTCTGGTCCTCCCCTTCCCATCTCCTCCAGGAAGGGTTCTGGCCATCCGCTGACCACAACTAACCAAGCCATGTAGAGCTTGGCGGGAGTGGGGAGGGAGGATGTCTCCTGAGAAGTCCCACCGGGGACAAAGCTTCAAGGCTGCCCCTTTGACCGAGGAAGGGGCTCTCCAGACCCTAGAGCTGGAGCAACAGCCAGCCTACTGGGTCTTGGTTCCCATATTCTTGTGCTTTAAGCCCGAGAGATGGTGGTCTCACTGGCCAGCACGTCTGTCCCGCTCTCACCCTTTCCCTGATAGCTGTTACCCCCACCACCCCAACCCCATCCAGGCTCCACTCGGGTGAGGCCTTGGTCCCTCTCAGGGCCACACTCCCTGCTTCCTGCAGCTCCCAGATCCACCCAATCCTATACCCACCCTGCTGGGCCGATGCCTCAGGCTGAGCTGGCATCAGTCTTGGTGTTCTCCCTTCTTGCTTCAAAAAGGGGGTGTCTGGGGACATACTTGTTTTCCCCTGAGGTCCTCATGAGTGAGATTTAGCAAACCCCTGCTCAGAAGCCTAACCCCTGGAGAATATGCTCTAAGGAACAGCCTGGTCAACGGTAACGTGTCTCCCCTTGCCACCTCCCTGCCTCAGTTGCATAGATTCATGGTTTGAAGTGAACAGATCTTGTCCAGAACATCCCGCGGACTGACCCTGCTGGGCTTGCTTGCTGACTCCTCTCAAAGGTGAGCCCGTGGCTGGGGGTGCTCTGGACTCCGGGCCTGGGGTCAAGTCACTTGGGGCCTGGAGGGTAGGGAGCTCAGGTGCCCTTAACACATCCCACCAAGAAGGGAGCATCTTATCAGTTAACGGTTCTGTGAGGGGGCAGGTATGATTCTCCAGGAAGACTAGCAAATACAAACTCCTAACCTGATGAAGGAGAAGCTGCTCAGTAGAATTAGATACGCTGGGAAAAGACCCATGTATTCCGGACATCTAAAGCGAGTCTCCCTGAAAAAGGCTCAGAAAGATCCCGTGGAACGCGCTGGGTGGGAGAAGCAGCGGCGAGCTCTAGGACCAGACGCTGGGTTTGTGTCCTGCTCCGCCTCGTGCTAGAGGAGTGGTGAGGGCAAGTCCTGCTTCTCGGGGTCTCTGCTTCTTCGGGGCAGGGGATAACCTCACTCCTTGTCTCCATATGGACATCCCACTTATTAAACTAGACAGCCTGTGGGACGGTACGCTGTCCTCTGCAGTGCTCATCTGTATCATGTCACTGCTGGTTGTTCCTGCCCTTAGGCCACCTGCCTCCCACCCCCACACACACTCTCACCCATACTTAGGCACACACCGCTTCCAGATCAATCTCTGCAGCAGGCCGGCACAGCCTTCTCCACCAGATGTGCACACATGGTCCCTATCTAACTGTGTGCTCTGACTCCCCATCTCTTCCCCAGGGCGCCTTGCTTCTCTGCTGACCACCCTCTCCTGTCCCCATCCTCCCTGCCCCTTGTGAGTTCTGAGGCGGCACTTTCTTTTTTCTGGCAAACGAACAAAACCCCTAGAGAAAACCAAAACCCTGATTCCACCTCATCTCACATTGAAAGGTTTTGGGGACTCCTTTCTTTTCTCTCTCTCGCTGTCTCTCTTGTTTTTGTTTGTTTGTTTTGTTTTCCTTTGTTCTTTCATTAGGTTTATTTTATTTATTCCAAGTAAGCTCCCAGAACAGCTGATGATGTCAGACAAATCAGGGACATTTGCTCTTTTTACCTTCCCCTCAAAAACTGAGGACACGGGGAGAAGAAAAAGCAAGGGTGAGAGTGAGGCAGAGGGACTGGGCCGGCGCCGGAGCGGGAGTCCAAACCCCGACGGGACGTTTGGCTTCGGGCCCCAGAGTGGAACCACAGACGCCCAGCCAGCCTCAGCGGGATGCACGCGGCCGGCCTCGGCTGCCAGAGCGCGACTTACATGTTCCGGTCCACACAGGGACAGCCAGCCCCCGTTCCTGAGAGGAGGCATCGGACACGGGCAGAGCTGAGCTGGGGACACCAGTGGGAACAGGGCACCCCTTCTGCACTGACTTCCAGAGAATGGTTCTCCCTTTCTCCCTGAGGACACCAAATTGGATGAGAGCGAGTTTGAGAGAAGAATCAACTGCTATCTTTCCCCTCAGCCCTCCTCCCAGGAGGGAAAGGGCATTTTCTTTTACACCTTTGAAAGGCATTGTGGGTCTGTCTAAAGTGTTTACAAAAAAAAAAAAAAAAATTATAAAAAAAAAAAGTCTAGTGTCGACTGGTGTTTTCCCTCGTGATGTTTACAGATTGCTGTCTGCTGCCCAGCTAGAGCCCACTCAGTGACAGAGACGAACAGGGCCGCGCACACGGTCTCCTCCTGTGCCCAGCGCCATCCCAGCCCCACCCCCACCCTGGCCCTGTCTATCACCAACCACTCTGCCTTGGGTGTTTTTTCTTTCTTTTTTTCTTTTTTTTTTTTTGGTTTTGTTTTTTTTTTGTTTGTTTGTTTGTTTTGTGGGGGTTTTTTTGTTTTTTCCCCCTCCATTTTTCTGGCTTGGTTTTGCACATATCTCACCTTGGGACCCTGATATGTAACTTCATTGCCAAAAAAAAAAAAACCCAACCTATCAAGGACCTTTTCCTCTCCCTACCCTTTATCTCTCCCTCCTTCCCTCCTGGTTCTGGTCAGTTCAGAGGATTTAATAATCACAAGTGTCCTGCAAAAATGCCAGAACATTTTTCTTAGACCCTTGTGGATTTTTTGTTTCCAGAAACACACAAAAGACTTATTAAAGGAATATGTACAGTTATCCCTGTTTTCAGGCACTCTGTTTGAGAACATTTTAGCCATTGATGTTCACACGTGGCATCAGCCCATGCAAGATAGGTTTCTGTATTTATATATTAAAATACAAAAAAAAACCCTTATAAAATGTTTAAAAAAATGTTCAAAGCTTGGGGGAAAAGCTTTCTTCATTAGTCAAGGTGTTTTGATATGGTATTAAAATGTCTAATAAAAGGTGCACTGTGTGACTTTATTTTAATGAGGTATTGTTACACATTCAAGAATTGGGGGTTGAAGGCCTGTCCCCCACTCCCTCACCTACCTCCTTAGCATTCCTCCAGGCTGCTACATGGCACTACAGGAGTATGGAGTGGTCCTCAGAGCAGTCATGCCTGGGCAGAGGGAACCTGGCAGGTCAGACCTGAGTCCTTCAGGGTTTTTGACCCTCCCAAGCATCATGGATTCCATCTGCCATCACCTGCGGAGTGGTTGTGACAGAACTCTTCAGGAAAGATCTGCGGGGGCAAAAGATCCTGCAGCCAGTTGAGGCTGCAAGGATGCAGACTCAGGTATCGGCCCAGTCCCCGCCTTCATCCTCAGTTCCCCATCCCACGTTCCGTCCTGCCTCCCCTGTTGCTCAGTCTGCATCTTGGTGCTGACTCATGGGCATGCTTCATTGAGGCCGAGAAGGAGGCCCTGCTTTGGGGCTGAGCCAGCTCAGAGCCCTTGAACTGGAACCAGCCACTCCGGGCTCGCAGGAGTTGGCACACCTCGAGCTGGGCGGGAAGCTCGGAGCAGGGGGTAGCAGTGCATGCCTGGCCTCTGTCCCTGTGCCAGACAGGCTCCTGGAGCGGCATTCCAGAGCCGCCTGCAGAGCCTGTGAAGGAAGGCTCTGGAGGGAGATGCCTCCCAGCTTCTGTGCTCACACCCCTCCTGGGGCCTCTCCATTGCTGTTGCCTGGAGAGTGCTCTGGCTCCCCAAGGCCCTGGCTCTGCAGTCAGTTCCTGAAGCACCTACTCTGTGCAAGGGCACCGCAGGCCAGGGGGCGGATGTGAACCGAGGCACAGGCACGCTCGGAGTGTTCAGAGAAATGCTAAAGAATTTGTGGGTCTGAGCCTGGGCCTTAGTGTCAGACCCACCTGGGGTGGGGAACCCCCAATCCTCCCCCCAGCCCCCGGGGACCAACCCTTCCCAGGGTAGCAAGAGCATGAGCTGTAAACTGTCTGTAGGTGGGCTCCTCTATTGGGCAGAATGATCTTGGGGGGACAACTTGGCCCTTCTGAACCTGAACCCCAGGTTGGATCGCATTTGAGTGGGGACAGAGCCGCACACCTCAGGTCACTGTGAGGGGCAGACAATCCGCCCGGAAGCTTCTGGCACATGCAGAGCAGGTTGCCTCGTAGATCCGTCCCCGCAAAGAGCACTGTTCTATTCACAGCACCTCCTGCTTCTGCCTGGCAACTGTGTCTCCCTGTTCTAAATTTAATTCCTCTAGCAGAACTGGCCCTGGAGATCTCCTTGCCTGACCCCTGGGCCGGCAGGCAGAGGCCTCTGTGACCACCTTGGCGGCTTTGGCCCCGGGGCCTTGGCAGCTCCTTGGGTGAGCCAAGTGGTCGTGACCCGGTAGGGCAGGCTACCGCCCACACTGGGCACTATTCCAGGCTCCTGGGGCCAGTCCCTGTCCCCACCCCCAGCGCCTTGCACTCCCACCCAGCGCACGGCAGCCCTCTGCTGGCTGCAGTGTTCTCAGAATCTACCCAGATTGCTGGCTCCGAGGGCAGGGTGGACCGGGCTGGTCCAGGCTTCCCAGGTAGAGCTGCGCTGTCATTCGTGCTCCATCCAGGCAGCTCTCCCAAGCTCTGTCCTTCCAGGGGGGGAGGGAACCAGCAGGAACTGGGAGGTGGCTAAGGGCCTTGCACACTTTGGGGAGCTTCCTAGGTAGAAGCAGTTCACTAAGACCGTTCAGCTAGCAGCCATTTAACAGTGTTGAGTTTCCTAGGAGAAGGTCCTTATGCTTAGGCGGTAGATGTTAAATTCTATAGGTAAATGGTGTCAGGAAATGTGTAATTCAATTCCAGATGGTTCCCCAGAAAGTACACACACAAAGCAAATTAGGCAGAAATAGTCACTTGAATCTTCAGGGGCTGGTATTTCCGTGAACAGTGTGTTTGTTCTTCCAGCTCATCTAAGAAGAGCCGTGCCCAGTAAGGGGAGACACCTCCGTTGCAGACTTTCCCCCTGAGCTGGGGGCAAGGCAGCCAAGTGCGGGTGGGGATGGGGCCAGTGAGCTGTACACTGCTGAGGCTTAGATGGTGCCTGGAGCTGGTCGCTTGGGGAGAGCCAGTGAGGCTTGCCCCCACATCACCCCTTAGCCCAGCGACTGCTTGCAGCCTGGGGGTGGAAACGTCACAGAGGAGCAAACTGGGCTCAGTCCAGTGTTCGAATGGCTTCCAAGGACCAAGTTGGGCTGAGAAGTCCCAGAAGGGTGGCCTCTGTCCAGGGCCTGGACAGCTGATGGGGAGAGGCAGGAGGGGCCCAAGAGGTGGAGGCAGGGAAGGAGCTCAACAGGTGGTTTATGGGAGTGAGGTGAGATGGGAGGGTCCCACTGGCCTTCCTGCTTTGCTGAGCTAGCACCTTTGCTTAGGGGCCAAGGGAAATGGGCCCGCAGGATAGGCTCCTGGGACGGAGTTCAGAGACTGACTTCCAGGACACCAAGCCAACCCCATCTCAACCTTGGGGAAGTAGGGAGGGGACCCAGGGCAGAGTTACAGGCCCTGGACAGAGGGGAGTCCTGGGTGCTGCTGCCCAGCGCAGATGCTGTGGTATTGTACGCCCTCTCGTGGGCTTGGGAACAACTGATAAGTCTGAGGGCCAAGTTGGTCTGGCCAGGGATCCTAAGGCATGGGCAGGCCCAGGGGAGGGCAGATCCTGACTTCAAGGGGGAAAAGCTAGTAGTAAAATACATCACACCATGGAGAAGTATAATACAAGGACAAAAATTTCATTTCCTTTTCCATTGATTGGCAGCAGCCATTTGAAGAACATGTTCAGAATGTTCTTGGGCCCAGTCAAGGCCAGTTGTGAGGGGTGTCAGCCATGGGCAAATCCTCAGGCTCTCTGTTCTCATGAGCAGCAGTTGCGACAGGGACTTTCGTCCCTGAAAGCGACTTTCTGTAGCCTAAGTACCATTCCCTCCCTCCCAGGCTGCAATAAATCAGAGGACAGACGGGAGGAGGGACGAGGGACAAGGACAAAGGTTAGAAAACCTGAAGGAGGTGGTGAGGGCAGGCACAGGAGGCCATTCACAGGTACCGTCTGCTCATCTCCAAACTGCTGCAAATGGGGTTCTGGTTTATTTCAGGGGCCCAAGGGCACCTACACCAGGAAAGGCATGTTCCTGTCACCACACCAGACAGGTAGAGTAGGGCTGAGGGAGCTGAGTCCCTGAAGCCTTGCCCCCAGCAGGGAGGGCTGGACCAAGGGGAAGGCAAGCAAGGACACCGGCAGATCTGGGCCAAGAGAGAACTGTTCTGTGACAAGAAGGAAGGTTCCAGAACAGGAGGTTCCACTGTCTGGGGGCTTGTGGGCCAAGCACTTGGAGCCCCTCACAGCACCTTGCCTGGGTTCATGAGGCCTTGGGGATCCAGCATGGCCTTCAGCTGCCGCATGATCTCCATGCCCACGACGCCCACCTCTTCCTGTAGCAGCTGCCGCTTGCCCAGCCCAATGCCATGTTCCCCAGTACACGTCCCGTGGAGTGCCAGTGCCCGCCTGGGAGGCAGCGAAGAGATCCTCAGCAGGGTGCTTCCCCCCGCCCCAGCCCCGTCCCCGCCAGCCAAGGGGTTTTCTCTTACCTGCCCAGCTGTTTTCCAAAGTCCCTGACCCTGCGGAGCTCCTCAGTGTCCTCTGGGTCCACCAGCAGGATGCAATGGAAATTGCCATCGCCCACATGTCCAACAATGCATCCTGGGGACCCAGAGGATAGAGCTGCTGCCCCAGTCCAGGCCTCCCCCTTCCCTCCCACATGGTGCTCCGGCAGTGGGCATGCGGACCTGTGAGTCCTGACGCCTTCAGGTCCTCCTTGGTCTGTACCAGGATCTCCGGCAGCCGGGAGATGGGCACACACACGTCGGTGGAATAGCCCTGGGTGGGGGCAGGTTTGTGAGGTTGTCCCCCGCCCCCCACCCCATGCCTGCCCGGAGGTAAGAGGTCCTTGTGGCCAAGGTCAAAGGAGGCTTGGCCTCACCTCCCCAAAACTAGCTGCTTTTCTCTAGGCCTGTTTGTCCCGGACGACCAGACACATGGCCAGAGTGAGTGCCCTGCCCTGCCCACAGAGGCTTCGCCAGCTCTCACCTTGCTCCCTGCCGGGCCACATGCAGGGCACACGTGGAGGGGCCCAGGTGGCCACGCCTTCACACATGCTGCCTGGAGCCCAGTCTCCCCTTCCATTTGGCTGACCCCTTCTGCTTCCTCCTCCCTCCAGCCAGCCTGCCCTCCGCGTGCACGGACCCTAAGAGCACCTGCGCTGTCCCTGTGCCCAGGCCGGGGCTCCCTCCTGAGGGTTTGGCAGACAACTACTTCCCCGATAGACAGTGTCTGAGAAGCAGCTGGGTAGGGGCCAGGCTGCCCACAGTGGGTCTCAGCCTCCTGCTTGGGACAGCAGGACGGTGGGCAGTGGCGGCTACCTGCACCCCAGCCCAACTCACCTTGCAGCCCGGCCGCAGGGCCAGAGCGGCGTACCAGGCGTTGTGCCTCGCCGCCCAGAGCCGGCTGCGCTCCTGGGCACCCTTGGCCCAGGAGAAGTGGGAGGCTCCGTTGTGCTGGGTGATCTCCTCTGCAAGGGCAGGGTGGGGGGGGTTCACACGGGGCCTCACTCGGGGCCAGCCTGAGACCCCACCCCACAGGAGCCCAGCACACCTGCCCGCTCTATCTGCTCGGCCAGTGCCCGCTCAGACCCATGGAACTCGAGGAAGAGTGTGGGCGCCACGGAGGAGTTCAGCTGGCTGTGCCTGTTGCAGGCGTCCATCATGACTTCATCCAGAAACTCTGGGGCCAAGGAGAGGGCAGGTGAGGTGAGGCCCAGGCTTCAAAGAGGGCCTCTTCCAGGAAGCCCACCCAGACGGCCCAGCCCCCAGCTCACCAATGCGGGCCACGGGCACTGCAGCCTGGAGGATGTGAACCGTGGCATCCACAGCCGCCTGGACACTGGGAAATGCGCAGGTGGCGGCCACCATGGCCTCAGGGGCGGGGTGCAGGCGCAGGGTGGCGGCCGTGATGAGTCCCAGTGTCCCCTCAGAGCCCACGAAGAGCCCTGTGAGGTTGTAGCCAGCTGCGCTCTTCCTGGACCCCAGGGACATACAAGGCAGGTGAGTGCCCGGCCATGAGGTGGTGGCTTTCTGGCCACAGGCCTGAGCTGGAGGCCCCTGCCAAGGGGGGAGTCAGCCCAGCCTGCCATCAAGACAGGTGAAGAACGTTCGCCGGTGTGTGTGACCGGAGCCTCAGAGCCCTCAGGGGCCTGGCCCCCCAATCCCATTTCCGGGAGGGGGAGGGTGCTCACCGGAAGTGCCGGCCCAGGCCCGCGGTGTGAAGCAGCCGGCCGCCAGGCAGCACCACCTCCAGGTTCAGCACGTTGTCCCGCATCGTGCCGTACCGCACAGCGTTGGTGCCGGAGGCCGCGGTGGCCACCATGCCCCCGAGGGAGGCGTCCGCGCCGGGGTCTGCAGGGCAGAGTACAGGCAGAAGGCGGCCTGGGGTACGCACCCGGGGACAGAGGGCTCCCCTCGCACCTGGAAACAGCCCTGCCCCCTTGGGAGCCCTCAGGGCACCGGGGAAGGGCCTCGAGCTCCAGCCTACCCACGGGAAACCAGAGGCCACTGTCCCGCAGGTAGGTGTTGAGAGTTTTGCGGGTGACGCCGGGCTCCACCACCACAGAGAAGTCCTGTGGGTTCACCCTCAGGATTCGGTCCATGTGTGTCAGGTTGATGCAGACACCGCCCTGGTGGGAAGGGATGCCAAGGAGCTGATGGACCTCCGTCCTCCCGGGGCCAGGCCACCTCCCATAGGACCTCCTCTCCAGGCTGAGCTGCGGCCGGTCAGGAGCCCCAGGAGGCCAGGTAAGGCGGGGAGGAGGCAGCCACAGGTGTGACAGGCAGGAGGGGGGCCAGAACCCAGGCCTGGGGAGGGGGGCACCTACCTGCATGGCACAGACTCCACCCTCAAGCCCCGTGCCCGTGCCAAATGGGACGATGGGCACTCCTTGGCTGTAGCACAGGGCGGCCAGCCGGCTGACCTGTTCCACATTCTGGGGCCACACCACAGCGCCTGGAGGTCGGCACCTGGAACCAGACCATCAGTAGTTTCTGCAAGTACGGTGTATCCTCAGGTCCTGCTCATGTCGGAGGAGCCCCAAGGTATCACAGGGCCTGAGGCTACACGTGGGAGAGGGATGGGTGGGGAGGAGAGGCAGAGAATGCAGCCCTCCCCCCCAAAACGAAAGGGTGGGGGAGAAGACAGCCCAGGACTCTGATGGGGGAGGGGCCCCCACACCTGTGCATGGACTCATCGTGCCCGTGCTGCTCTCGGTCAGCAGCAGTAGTGGACACATGAGGGCTCCCCACAACTGCCCTCAGAGCCTCCACAAAGCCTTTGCTGAGCTCGCCCTGCAAAGAAGAAACAAACTGCCAGAGTCACTCAGAGCCCCCCCCCCCCCGGCCCCCCTGGGGCAGGTCCAGGAGTGGGGGAGGGACTGCTGGCACCCCACTGACACCAATGGGAGGGCCAGCACAGCTAGGCCTGGCTGGTGGACCCACAGGAAGTAAACCCACTCTACAAGAAGGCACCTTTCTAAACAGAACCATCAAGGTCAGTGTTTCACTTAGGAAAAAACAGCACCTGGGTCAAAATAGGAGACAGATCCACTCTACGGAAAGGAACCCTACAGGGTTCCATAACGTAGCCAGTCCTGCCCTAGTGGCTTGGAAGAGTTACTTATCTCTGCCCTTCCTCCAACACTGCCCCAGGCACGCTAGGAAACTGAGAGGGATAAAAGAAGAATGGGAAGGGAAAGCCCCATCCCCAAGCCACTGAGGTGCCTTCCCCCACCATCCTTACCTCCTAGGCATTGTTTCAAAATGTGTCTACACATTTGGGAGCCCCAAAGAGAGCGTTCTGGAGCCCACACACTTTCGATTTTACACCCCCCAGCCTCATTTGTGGCAGCTGTGGGGACCTCAGCCCATCTCACTCAACACCCACGCTTGGCACAGAGTGAGCCCATTGATCCTCTGCTCAAGGTCATAGGGAGCTGGTGCAGCACACAGAGCCTGGTGGAAGCTTGACATCTGGCCCCCCACCCTCCAGCGGGCTTCCCCGTCCCCCACCTACCTGCGTCCCCCTGGAGCAGTAGCCCCTCCAGGGGAACAGCCCCCGGGGATTTGCAGCAGCCTGGAGCAGACTGGCCATTGTGGGGCAGCAGCCTAAGGGGCATGTGCAAGGTGGCCAGGTGGCCGCCCCAGCCCAATGGCCGTGCTTGTGGTGGGGGGGGCGGTGGCTGCTTAAGGTGGCACGGCCTTAAGGTGGCCCTGCCAGCCCTTGGTGAGTCAGGCGTGCACCCCTTAGGCGTGTGTCAGTACTCCCAAAGAGGTGAGGGTTACCTAACACAAAGGGAAACAGGCTAGCAGCCCCTCTCTGGCTTAAGGCTCTGTGGTGGCTTCCCTTGGTCTTTAAAATAAAGGCAGCATCCTTGCCATGGACTTAAATGTCCCTATGGTCCCTGCTGTCCTCGACATCTACCCACTTTTTCCAGTCTCCTCCTTGGCATCTGAGTTCCAGTTTCCCTTTAGGTTCCTGTATCCCCTGAGCTCCAGCCCAGCTCAGGGCCTTGGCACACACCCTTTGTCTCTCTTACCCTGCAAGTCTCAGGACTCTGAGGAGGGAAGTGCACGGAGGCAGAGGTGGGGAGGGAGTAGGGCAGTGAGACAAGCCCGGAAGTCTCCCTGGAAGAGGGGAGATCTAAGTAGGCACTGCTCTAGTTCACCAGCTAAGTGAAAGGAAAGGAGGGTGTCCTTTCATCTCCACTGTTCCACTGGGTGGATTTCAGAACCATCCTGCAGTGATGTGGCTGCCGCTCCTGGAGCTCTTCCAAGCTCCGTTTTCCTTCCACAGCAAATTTGGAGACGCATGTTGCTAACATTACTAAGATAAAGCTATTCCCAGCTTTGTTTTTCTTCTCAATTGAATCACGAATACAAACTCCTACTTGGGTCCTTCTCCCCAGCCACGTTTGAATGAATTCACATTTCCACTCCCAGTGTGTTGCTTAACTGGCTTGTCTCAAAAAACGTCTCTTACAGTTGGCTAGTTCAAATCAAGATCCTGTGAAAGTCCACACAACTCATTTGGTTAACATGTCTCATAAATCTGTTTTCTTCTCTAGCAGTTTCCCTCCCCCCATACCTTTTTTCCATGCCATTTATTTGTTAAAGAAACTGGGTCTCTTGTTGTGCAGAATTTTCTACCTTCTGTTTGTGGATGATTGCAACCATGTGGTATTGTTTGATATCTTCCTCTGGTCCCTGTATTTCTTGTAAATTGTTAGATCAAGGTGTGGCGCTGTGCAGTACAACTTCCTGTTAACTTTTAGAAATATTCAGTATCTGTGCTTCCATTAGCCACAGGTAGCTAATGGTACTGGAGGTATCTGTTGTTTGAGGAGAGATGCCAGGGAGAGATTGTGGCAAACCCTAAAAGAAGAACTGCAATGCAGATCCCTAAGGTTTGGAAGCAGGGTCATGACATTTGCAAGAGAGACTATATACACCATTCAATAAAGTGCCCCTGGCCTGTTACCAGGTCCTGGTTATGATGGTGAGTGTGAGCACATCAAGTGGCTACCTGTCTGGAACTGGGCATCATGGGCTGTGTTTGTTTTTTGTTTGTTTGTTTGTTCGTTTGTTTTTAAGATTCCATCCATTCATTTGTCAGAGAGAGAGAGAGAGAGGACAGTAGGCAAGGGAGGGAGCCCAATGCGGGACTCAATCCCAGGACTCTGGGACTGTGACCTGAGCTCAAGGCAGAAGCTTAACTGACTCAGCCACCCAGGCATCCCCATGGACTGTATTCTATCAGACTCACCAATTCATAAAGGCAGGTGGGTCCAAAACAACCCATCATTAGACAAAAGAGTAATGGGCAAAATTGGGCACAACCAGGGCCAGAAGGCAAACTAAGCTGCACAGGTAGACGGCTTGGATCCCCAGGTCACTCACCATCACCTGGCCAGCACCTTTCCTTCAGCTCACACCTTTATGGCCATAAGGGGAACTTTGATGACCAGCTGATAGAAGAAGGAAAAGTTCAAGCTCGGTTCATGAATGGGTAGGCTCAGTATGAGGGTGTGAGCCAACAGACTGTTGCTACACTAGGGCTCCACCTAGGGGTAAAGAAAGTCCCTCCAGTTGGCAGAGCTGCAGGTCATGCACCTAATCATCCCCTTTTGTAAAAAGAAAAATGGCCCCGTAGAAGAATAAGTATAGGCTCCTGGGCAATGGCGAATGGCTTGACTATGTGGTCAAGGTCCTATTAAGGAGAAAGATTGGAAAATCAGGGTCCAAGAGGTTTGGAGAAGAGGCATGTAGATGGATCTCTAGGAGTAAGCACAAAGTGGGATCTCTGTAGCACAGGTATCACACGTTAATGCCCACCAGCCAGTATCTGACACGGAAGAGACCAAATGAAGCAGATAGCATGATTCTGCCAGTTATCATTGGCCAATGATATCAGTGGTCAAAGACCACTCCAGTGCTGGCACAATGGTAGCATGGATAGAGGCCAATAATGGATCCGCCAGCATGGAAACCATTCACTAAGGCTGATCTGGGCCGCCACTGCTGGGCATTCACCCTATTGCCACATTGAATCCCCCACATAGTACCATTCCTCAAGGAGACCAACCAGCCATTTAGTCACAAGTCAGTTACAATGGACTGCTTCCACTCTGAAAGGGGAGCAATTTATGTGGGCTGAGATCAACACAACATATGTTATATGCATCTGGGATTGCCTCTCCTGCCTCCATGGCCTCAGCCAACCCTACTGTCTGGAGGTTCACAGAATATTTGATCCACCAACACAGTATACCACATAACATCGCCTAAAGCCGAAAAACCCACTTTTTTTTGTTCAGTTCAGAAGTCATTGACCTTACAGAGCAGTGGTGGAATGGCCTTTGGGAGGTACAACTAAGACAGCAGCTTGGAGATACATCCACTCCACTGCAGTGCCAGAAGAGGAAGAGATTTTCATATAACTAACAGATAAAAGGTGAGTATCAAAATGACTTTTAACCTTTTATTTTGAAATAATTTTAGACTTCAAGAAAAATTGCAAAATTAGTACAGGGAGTTCCTATATACCCTTAACTTGGTTTTCACTAGTGTTTACATTATATATAACCATAGGACAGCTGTCAAAACTAAGAACAAGTAAAAATATTCATCAATATAGTTAGAGAATTGGTGCAAATTTGATTTCACCAGCTCTTCCAATAAAGTCCTCTTTTTTGGGGATGGGGAGAGGAGTTGTTTGGTCCAGGATCTAATCCATCATCTCATTCTGCCAGTAGTTGTCTTGTCTCCTTTGTCTCCTACAATCTGTTACAATTCCTTAGTCTTTTCTTGTCTTTCTGACCTTGACATCTTGAGGAGTACTTGTCAGTTACTTTATTGAATGTTCTTCAGTTTAGATTGTCTGTTGTTTTCTCATGAGTATATTGAGGTCATGTGTTTCTGGCAAGGATGCCACAGAAGGGCGATGCCCTTCTCCATATATCATATCAGCGGTTTCAGATGTCAGTATGTCTTATTAGCAGTGACGTTTACTTTGAACACTTGGTTTAGGTCATGTCTGTGGGGTTTCTGCACTGCGAAATAACATTTTTCTCTCTCTTTTTTTTTAAAGATTTTATTTATTTATTTATCAGAGAGAGAGAGAGCTCGAGCGAGCACAGGCAGACAGAATGGCAGGCAGAGGCGGAAGGAGAAGCAGGCTCCCTGCCGAGCAAGGAGCCTGATATGGGACTCGATCCCAGGGCTCTGGGATCATGACCTGAGCCGAAGGCAGCTGCTTAACCAACTGAGTCACCCAGGCGTCCCACATTTTTCTCTTTTTAATTAGCAAATATTTGGGGTGGATACTTGAAGACTGTACCAATATCCTGTTTCATCTCACTTTCATCCACCATTCTTAGCTTCTACTGGTGGATATTGCCTGCAGTCATTGTTATTGTGGTATTGTGTGTTCTGATGGTGATTTTCTATTTCCCTTATTCCCTCAGTATTAGTTGATTAGAATTATTCTCTAAGGAAGAGCCGTCCTTCTGCCTCATTTATTTATTTACCTACTCAATTATTTATATATTACCAGTATGGACTGATGAATACTTATTTTATTCCACAGGTTATAATCTAATACTGTTATTATTTTGTTGCTCAGTCAGTTCTGGCTTTGGCCACTGGAGACCTCTGTCATATGGATTTCTCTGCCCTTTAGACACCCACAGCTATTTTTGAGCACTGCCTTACTTTCTAGAACTATAAGATGCTCCGGGCTCATCTTGTCTTCCTCCTTCTCACACCAGTAACCAACCACTTTTCCAAGGACTTCTGGCTCCTTTTAGTGGAGAATAGTATTTTGAACTCGAGATTTGCTTGTTAGATGTGCTCCTAAACTGAACAATACGAAAACAAAAACGTGTTTTAAAAATGTGCAAAAGATCTGAACACTTCACCAAAGAAAACATACAGGTGGAAAATAAGCATATGAAAAGATGCTCAAGATCACCTGTCATCACAGAATTACAAGTTAAAAAAAGACATCACTATGCACCCATTAGAATGATGAAAATTTAAAAAAAAAAAAAACCTGACATCAAACGCTGACAAGGACACAGAGCAACAGGAATTCTCATTCACTGCTGGTGGGGACGCAAAATGGTACAGTCACTTTGGAAGATAGTTTGACAGCTTCTTACAAAGAAACGCCATAGTCTTACCATATGATCTAGCGATCATGTTCCTAAGTACTTATCCAATTGAGTTGAAAACATATGTCTCTACAGAAGTCTGCACGTGAATGTTTACAGCAGCTTTATTCAAAATCTCCATAAACTCCACATCTCCAAGATGTCCATCCAAAGGTGAGTGGGTAAGCCGACCATAGTGCATTAAAACAAGAGAATACTTAGCTCCTAAAAGTCACAAAAAGACACGGAGGAATCTTAAATGCATCATGCCAAGTAAAAGAAATCAATCTGAAAAAAGCCACATGCTATATAATTCCAACCATGTGACATTCTGGAAAAGATAAAACTAGGCAGGCAGTAAAAAGACCAGTGGTTTCCAGGGACTAGAATTGCAAGGGAGGAATACATGAACTACAGGGGATTTTTAGGGTGGTAGAACTATTCCGTATACCTTGGTAATGGTGGGTACATGAC